CAAAGACAACATATTATGTAATTCAATTTTTAAAAAAGATTTTATTTATTTATTTGTCAGAGAGACAGTACAAGCAGCGGGAGCGACAGGCAGAGGGATAAGTAGGCTCCCCTCTGAGTAAGGAGCCCCATGGGGGGCTTGATCCCAGGACCCTGAGATCATGACCTGAGCCAAAGGCAGACGCTTAACTGACTGAGCCACCCAGGCGTCCCTATATAATTCAGTTTATATGAAATTGTCCAGGGTATGCAAATTCATAAACACATAAATAACAGAAAGTTGGCCAGTGGTTGCTAAGGGATGAGAGGGGTGATTGGGAGTGACTGCTAACATGTATGGGGTCTCTTGTTAGGGTGATGGAATCATCCTATAATTAAATCATGGGGATGGCTGACTAACATTGTGAATATACTAAAAAAAAAAAATCACTCAATTAAGTTAAATCCTTTGGAGAATGTAGATATTTTTGTTGAGGCAGATAATCCACCTGGTTAGATTCAAACCACAACTTCCAACTCCCCTTCTGTGGTCTGTGATTCCAAAGTCAGTTCAGTTCCCAGAGTGTGGACGGGGCTATTCAAGTTCTGACCCACTTGTGTGCCACCTAGTGGTCGGTTGAGGACCACGGGCGGTGGTCTGTCAGTTCAGCCTCAGTCTTTGGTGTATTGAGCAGGGCCAGGTCCGTGCAGGGGAGCAGCTCAGAAAGGAGCCCCGATTTCGTAAACAACTTTGTGGGTTCACTTCCCTAAGCAGCTCTCTCGGCAATTTCCCTGTTACTTTTGTTTCCTGCAGCTTCTAGTTTTTAGTCTTCTGATCAGACACCTGAGGCTTGACCTACACAGCTCTGCCATGTATTTCTGCATCTGGGGCCAAGCAGCAGGAGGACAGAGTTGGAACAAAAGCAACTTCACCCTCTTAGTTTCACCTTCTTGGGACTATAGTTGCGCCAGTTGAAATTTCTCCCCTTCAGAGTTTTGGCTCCTGGGTCCCAAGTAAACGGGGATTCTCACAGGCTGTTTTCCAGGCTCTTGGCTTGGAAAGCCCCCTTCCCCATTCTCCCTCTACAAAGCTCTTTGCCGTGTGTCTCAAAGCCCTGTTCAGCCGTCACCACCTTTGAGAGTCCCTAGAATGAACCATTCTCTCCTCTGAGCAATCTCTGTATCCTACTCCTATTTCTAATATCAGTTCTTACTTCACGATGTTCTGAGGCATTTTTTTATGGCCCGTGGTACACTGTGAGATTTCCAAGGCTGGAACATTTATTGCTGCTTCACTGTCTAGCAGTGCAGTGGCTGACAAAAGTTTACATTCAATAAATGTTTCTTGAATTTGTTTACTTTTTGGTTTACCCTCTCCCCAGTTCTAATTTGTGTCCCTTTATCTGGCATCAGAAACTCATTAAGCTCATTAGAATTGTGTATGAACTAAGCAGGTGACAAGCAAGGGCCTAGGGGATTTTTCTGAGTGACATGAACGTTAGTGCATGGACTTTAATAACCTTTGGTCTTTTTAAGGCTCTGGTTTCCTCATTTTTGCCTGTATTCTGGTAGAAGTTGGCAGAAAGCTTAGTTCCAGATAGTTTAGGACTCATCACTGTACACAAAATTAGAAGGCCCTAGCTGTCCTCTGAAGGAATCTACAATTTGAAAGAGGGAAATAGCCATGTAAAGTTTTCAAAAATAGAGAATAACGTTTAAGAACAATTAAATGTGGGGTTTGGGGGGATTAACTGGAAAGCAGTATGAATAATTTTCAAAATGCTGATATGTTGATCCCCAACATAATCCCTCTTATGGGGTTTAACATGGTGCTAAAGGTATGTGGCGAACAAATATCCTTTTAGTAAGCTGCTCCTTTCATGCTTGTCTCTAATATTTTGGGGATTGAGATCTTCTTCTTGGACTGTAAAAACACAACTGAGATTTCTAGTAGGGAATACGAGCCCAGTCGCCTGCCGGTAAAATTTTAGATTTAAGAAGCCATTTTTGACCTATGCTCCAATTAGTGACAGTCATCACGTTGCGATCTCCTACTTGATCTTGTGACATCAAAAATTCTAATATGACAGTAGGATTAGAAAGTGAAGAAGGAAATGCCAAGGTTTTAGAAGGGAGAAGAAATTACATTTTTTCCTTCCCAGACACGGGTCTCCCCAGTGGAGAAGTCAAGTCAGGTGAGGCAATCAGCACACTTGTGCAATCCCCGGCTGACTGGAGATTCCAGAAGGTGAGGGGGTGAATTTGAGGCACCGAACTCAGGATCCCCCCAGTAAGGTCTTAAGGTTTGGGTGATTACAGCACAGTTTAGGGAGCACAGCTGGAACCGAGCTGAAAGTAAATTTCAACTCTCCTAAGTTAGAATTCCTGAGAATTTATATAGGAGCTTGCTTTAAAAAGCTCACCCGTGCTCCACGGATGGAGGAAAATTTGCCAATAACAAAGATGCAAACAATATTGCAGATACATATTTAACCCATTTAAAAAAACACATTCAAAAAATAAAGTTAGCATTTCCATTACTGTAGCATAATACTAATTTTGGCAAACTGGAAGCACTACCTGAATTGAATACGGTCCCCCTTCTTCCCTGCCAAAAAACTCCAAACAAAACACTTCAGAACCATTTTAATAACACTTTCTGATTTATTTTAGAGAGACAGAGAGGGAGCGAGCACCGGGGCCCCCACCCCTGGCCTCTTCCCCTGCCGGGGGCTGACCGTGTTCGCCTCTGGAGATCCAGCTCCTCCAGGAGCCTTCCCTCCCCCTCTGCTGCTGTGATCTGGCAAAACCCTACGGTCACCCTCGCAACACTTCCTACCTGGCGCTGTGATTACCCATCTCTCCCACTTGGGCGGGAGGAAATCAAAGCTCTGCACCCGCGCCGGGAGGAGTCCGAGACTCAAATCACAGAGACCCTGAATCTCTACGTTCAAGGAGGACGAAGGGCAAGGAAAGGAGGGTGAACGGGAAGAGGAATGCCCCCCGAAAGCGCTACACAGTCTCCGGCCTTGCTGAGGGATGTAGTAAGATATGTTAACATACATGTATAAGGAGATGTAAGATATCTCCTTTGCTTAGAAATGAAAAATATCGGAATTATGCTGAATAGTGGGAAGACTCCACCACTATTCTGTATGGTCCTGGGATTTGGCTCACACAGTAACCAGATCATTTTCTTTTATTCATACACATGAATATTTCTACTTTATATTCAAGAACACTTTAATTTTCTCTCTTGCGCGCACACACCACAAGTAACAGAGTAGAAACATTTATACATTTGGGATCACAGGAATACTTGGGTTCAAATTCTTTAGATGCCACTTTTAAGTTGTGCAACCTCAAAGGACCTACTTAATGTCAGTTTGCAGCTCCTCTGCTATAATGTGGAAAGAATTTTAAGTAACCCATATAATTTTAAGGATTAAATAAGATAGTATTTGTGGAACCCACCTTGTGAACTTTATATAGAGAATGTTTGATATTCTTACATGGATGTAGATATGACTACTTTAATTATGTTCCAAAAAAACTATAGTAAAAATTTTTTAAATGACTTTTAAGAGAAACCTTTAAAAAATTGATATATAATTGACCTATAACATTCTGTATCAGATGTACATGATTCAATACCTGTATTTGTGAAATGATCACAGTAAGTCTAGTTATCCATCACCATATGTAATTACAAAATTTTTTATTCTCGTAAGTTTTCAGATATACAATACAGTATTATTAACGATAGTCACCAGGCTGTATAGTACATCTCCATGACTTTATTTTATAACTGGAAGTTTGCACCTTCTGATCCCCTTCACCCACTTCACCCACCCCAACACCCAGCTTCTGGCAATCACTGATCTGTTCTCTGTATTGATGAGTTGGGTTGTTTTTTCTTTTAAGTTTCCATGAGATCATATGGTATTTGTTTTTCTGTCTGATTTATTTCACTTAGCATAAAGCCCTCAAGTTCCACCCATGTTGTTGCAAATAACAAGATTTCCTTTTTTATGGCTGAATAATATTCCTGTGTGTGTGTGTGTGCATGCGTGCGCATGCCTGTATACACACAATTTCTTTATTCATTCATCTGTGGATGGACACTGAGGTTGTTTCCAACAGTTTTGTTTTTAAAAAAGATTTTATTTTTTAAAAAAGATTTATTTATTTTAGAGAGAGAGAGAGAGAGTTGGGGGAGGGCAGAGGGAGAGCACCTTCAAGCCGACTCCTTGCTGAGTGCAGAGTCTGATGCCGGGCTCGATCCCACAAGCCATGAGATCACGACCTGAGCCGAAACCAAGAGTCAGATGTTTAACTGACTGAGCAACCCAGGTGCCCCATAAAGATTTTATTTTTGGGGGCGCCTGGGTGGCTCAGATGGTTGAGTGTTTGCCTTCAGCTCAGGTCATGATCTCCAGGTCCTGGGATCGAGCCCCGCATTGGGCTCCCAACTCAGCAGGGAGTCTGCTTCTCCCTCTCTCTGCCTCTCTCCCTGCTTGTGCTCTGTCTCTCTCAAATGAATAAATAAAAAAATCTTAAAAGATTTTTTAAAGTAATCTCTACACCCAACATGGGGCTCAAACTCACAACCCCGAGATCAAGAGTTGCACACTCCACTGATTGAGCTAGCCAGGCACCCCACCAAAACAGTTTTCTTAAGCATTAGTCCTATCTTCTCATAGTTCCATGTCTCAAAGTCATTCAAATGAAACAATGCACAATAGGATTATTCTCAATAATTATGAACATTTATTAAACACCAAGAGCATACTGCAATGGTTGCTATGTAAAAACACAATTAACATAGTGTCCCTGCCATCGAGCTTACAATCGAAAATGAAATACAACAAGAATGCTGTAAGCATACCTCAAACTTTTCTTAACTTAGAAATGGCTATTTTGGCAAGTAAGTGAGGCAAAATGGCCTATCATTTTAGATACAATGTTAATAAGGCTTTGAACATGATCCAAAGAATATTTTACTTGTACCCAGACATTTCCCCCAATTATAATAGGCTTGGTAAGAAAAAGAGCACTTAGAAATTGGGTGAGAACAATGAATTATTTCAAATTGCCTTGTAGGACTTTAAAAAGAGAGAAATGCTTACTAGCCTGAGTTTTTCCACAGCTAGGGAAAACCCCACGAAAAATATCATGAATTCGACCAAGCCTGTCTTCTATTCCACTTGCAACTTTGCGACTTCCTCCTCCTTTCCCACAGGTAAGGACTCCAGTGACGCCCCTAGCAGGAAAGAAGTACTGTATCTAGACAAAATACCCTAAAGTTGTAGAGGGTTACCAAATCTAATTTCCCCAGGAAATATTAATTCCTATTTTAAAAGAGGAGTGAGCAAAGACAGCAGTGCGCATCTGGCTGCAGGAGAGGCCGGGCTATGTAAGATACGTTAAGCAAAGCAGCTGAGCTCAGTTCATGCATCTTCAATGTGATTAAGAATATGGGTAAATAATTGCTTTCTGTCCCTTATTTCTGGTGTAGGGGGATTTGACAATTTAGCATCAAGATCCCAAATTGCAAAGCCTGTACTATTTTGCCTATATCCATAGTATAATATTTAATAAATACTTCCAAAGTTTTCCTTGCCGGTCATGTATTCGCTGACAAAGGCATTCTGAAGGGATTCTGATTCTTACTGTCAGATGCAAAGTCTTAAACTATATATTGATTATTTTCAACCACTGATAATTCTTTGAACTCTAAAAGAACACTAAAAAGTAATTGGTTATAAGTTATCTGAAAACTGAAATAGAATCTACTCTGTAAAGTGCATGCACAAATTTTTAAAAAAATACATGCATACAAATATTTTAATGGCAGATTGGTAGCATCCTGAGGGTTTTTTTTTTTTTTTAATGGCAAAACAATATTTCAACAATTTTTTTAAAAACCAGTAATTTCCTCCTTAAAAGTCCATCTTGGGAACTTTCTTTTAAATGATAACACAGCAGCAGCAATATTTAAAAAATGTTCACAAAATTTGCTTTGCATACAAGTTTATCGAGAAAGAATGGTCCAAAAACTTCAGGATAAACTTTCTAAAAACACTTTTTATAAAGTAGAATAATACACTACTTTTGACCTAAAATTGACATTTAAACATCCTCCTCCCAATTTAAAAGTGTCATTTTTACCTCCTCCTTATAGTAAATAAAATCCAATTACAACATGTGAAATGAAAAACTTGAAACACCTATCAATATCATTCTTCTAACAAGATGACAAAAATTAATTTCCATTAATTAAATTCAATTTTTTCTCCCAAAAAAAGGAGAGAAAAATAAAAAATCAATATCACCATAGCTGTGACAGAGGAATTTGGGTTTACAAATCTCAATCAATGCACTTATTTTTGGTATTGCATGAAACAGCTAGAATTCCTGAATAACATATGTTTTTCTAAGGCAAGGCAAGGTTGATTACGTATACAGCATAGACATTAGCATGGTTATAAAGGTAGGAGGACCAATACATATACATTCACTTGTTTTAAGTGATACATTCCAAGCTACATAAAATTTAATTTCGTGTCCTAAGACTACATTTTTGACCTTAAGCTTAGAAGCATAACTGCTGTAAATACGTTAAAAAATACTTCATTTTTTCCAATATTGTAAAGTATACTGAATTTTCAAATGCCTAGTATAAATTTTTTTTGCACAAAATTTAAAAAGGCATACTATTAGCTAGCTATAACTACTGTGTTAAGTAATTGTACTAAGGAAGTTCACAAGGAGAACAAAATATAAAACTAAGCATAATTATTGCATTTAACAAAAAGTGAAATCAAGTAGTTCTGAATGCACTTGTTTTTTGTCTTAGTAATGTGTATATTCATTTTATAGCCACTAGCTACTAGTTTGATAAACATACTCAGATTCTGTAAGATTTGTTTTTCTTGGCTGGTTATTTTTTTTCCTTCTATTCTCTCCAACAGCAGTTGGAATTATTTTTCTTTCAAATACGAAGTAAAATAATGTTTCTATTTTTTATCTGAGCCATGTGAAAGCTGACTCCCTACTTTCATTTTTAGAAGTTAATTTTTTTGGACCTTAGTTAAAATCTAACATCTAAGCCATGTGTTTTTTGCTGTTAAGTACAATCTACATTTTGACAAATTGATAAGGGTTATTAACAAAAGCAAATCTTGACTTCATCTGTGTTTTAAATATGATTACACAGCCTTTTTTTCTTTTTTAATGAGAAGAAGGAGATGAAGAAAACCATTCATACAGGCCCTCTTCACTCTCAACTATTTTGAGATACAGCTCTAGAGTGGATCAAGTCAAGTAACGTTGGTAATCTCTTTGCGTAGAAGAGAAAAAACAAAGGAAGTTACTTCCTTCCTAAGGTCTCAGCTAGTTTCTTAAGTCTTTTCTTCAGCTCCAACGGAAATTTCTCATAGCACTTCTTACAGACTGGCTTCATGTCAAACTCCACAAATTTATTCCTAAAGAGAGTAACAATAATAAATTAGTAGAAATGTATTTGACACAGATATGTAAATAATGTGAGGTAATTTTACTGAAGTAAATGAAGACACTGTATGATGATATTGATATTCATAGCAAAAAACTATAATTCTAATCTCAGCTTTTGTCATTGTGGTAGATGTAAAAAATTATATCACTTGAAAAAAATTGTCCTTATAAAATGATCTTATATATCTATTTGTGTTATACAGAATGTACATTACATTTTAGTCTGTGCTATGTACACAGAAAATCTAATGTCAATATAATTAGGTAAGTAAATCAAATCAATCACACATTAAAGTACCGTGAGAACACTTTAAAGAACAGTTATTTAAAGCCCAGAGTTGTATTTCTGTAATTTGAATGACCTTCTCTTTGTTGAAAGCAAATTAATCTTCATTAATATTTTAAATTAGGTATCTATGAGGTTTCATCTTTCCTTACATAAAATGGTTTGCTTCCTACCTCCAACAACAAAGAAAATCATTTTCAAAGAAATCTTAAATTGTAATGGGTTATTTTGGTTAGTTGTCTGACAGAAAGGTTGGTAGGGGAGATATAAGAAAGTTTTTAATCACCCTTAAGAAACACAAATGAAACAGATTGCCTGTGGTTCCATTTTGTGAATGGTCAGCTGTATGGAGAACTCAATTCTTTCTTTTTAAAGTTGGAGCAATACACACATTATCAATTTATTTGTAAAACAGTTCTGGAGAGGCCAGGTTTTTAGACAGCTTCCTAACTATCTGTTTACGCATTTCAAATTGGTAATTACAATTGCTTATTGCTGTTGGAATCCACGGTCCTAAACGGTGAACTGAGGAAATACACAACTTTATAATTTGTACATTTTCCTCACTTGTTTTTAGGTGGCATTTCTGGAACAAGTCTAGTGGTACATTGTTATCTATGGCAAATGATTAAATCAGGTGATACAATTTTAAAGAACAAATAACAAAGTTAATTCCTAATCATATATTTAATAAAATGAAAACTCTTATTTTCAAGCATTACATGGAATTTATTCCCTGGCTGTTTTTCACAGAGATCTTAATGCTGACAGAAATTCAAATGATGTTATTTTTTCAATGACAGTTTGATTTAAATAGTACTCCTGAGTTACAATTTTCTCCCAAAGACCTCTAGCATGAAAGCTATGAAAACTGCCATTTTTTGGATGAAGGAAATAAATTATCACTACTTTCAGAGATACTGTTAAGCAAACTTCAATGGTTTTAATTTTATATTTGAATTTTAATTCCTTTTTACGGAAGGAAACATGAAAACTGGAACAATAAAAAACTTTCGGAGCTCAGAACACAATGGTAACCATGAAGGAACAATGGGACAATCATGCTAGTAATTCAACAGAATTTCAAAGATTGAAGTATTTCCCATAAAAATCAGGAATAAAGTAGGGCTTGAAAACATCAAGAAAATGAATTCATAAACAGCAGCAATGAGCACTCTATGAAAGTGCATACAGACACCAAAGACAGTAGATCTCCTACTAGGTACGGTAGATGGTCTTTGCTTAGATACAAAACATGCTGAAAGGATTTAATACAGAGCTTAGACCATGTGACACTTGGAATTTATCAAATAAATCATTTTAGGCAAAGACCAAAAACCCGGATTTTAGAAGCTGTAATTAGCAGAGAAAAATAATTTTCCCAATATCTATTAAATAGAGATTGGAAATCTTTCCTTTGAATCCATTTAAAAAAAAGAAATCTATATACCATATTGTGATATAAACAAAGAGATGAGGGAGTTGACAGATTAAGGGAAATAAGTTAAGTACAAGCTGGGATTAGGTGGGGATTTGATTAATGTAGCTTTAATAATTTTAATAAGTAGGCAGAAGAACCAGCTCTACACGGGACAAGTACTTGGACTTCAAGCTCTGACAGCTACAAATACATGCCAAAAGAAACAAAAAAGCAAAAGACCCAAACAGAGCAAAGCATACTCTAAAGGACTAACCAAAGAAGAGAGCAGTGAAAATGATGACAGAAGGGACAGAAAAGTTTACAGACAGACTGGCTTTTTCTTTTTCTGCTTGTCCTTATCCTTTGCTTCTCTCTCCCGTTTGGCAAGTCGCCTCTTAAATTCTTCCGGCATTTTTTCGTAACAGTGTTTGCAGACTGGTTTTAGATCAATTTCAACAAACTTATCCCTTTGAGCAGGACAAAGAAGGAATAGAAGAAAGAACATAAAACAATTAAAGGAAGAACCTTTACTTCTGGAAGGCCTACACAGAAAGAATAAGGAATAAATTCTCTTTTTTAAAACTCCGTATTTTAAAAATGTTACCCCAAAGTTTTCAGTCTTAGGATTCACCCCAGACTAAACTGTAGACTTACTTGAGTGTTAATTTAGTGTTGCAGGTGGAACAGGCAAAACAGTTCACACACCAGGCCTTATTAAGAGCAGAGACCACTAGAGAAAGAGGAAAGACATCGGGTCACACACACTGGTATGGAAAGTGGTGAAGCTGACACTTTCAACTCAAACAGAGCTAAGGTGACTTCCACGACACTTGGAAGGGGTTCTCAAGAGGTTTTCTTGCAAAACGATCACATGACTAAAAATCTCAGTGCCATTAATGTTTACAGAATCAAATTAATTAATTTAAGGCTATTTTTTCACGTTACTAAAAAACTGAGCACTTATGTCCTCTATGACTGTAGGCTGGTTTCACCTTAGGGAAGATTACCACTGGCTTTTTCAACCTTTATTTATAGTTAAAATTTTCCTTCTTTCCTTTGAGTATCCTGTGAAGCATATAAATGGTATGTAGCATGTCTTCCCACCAAAGGTTGTCCTCTCACTCCCGTGGATGATGGGGTGTATATTTGCACTACGTCACTCAGATGAGCTTTTCTGGCACAGGGCCTGCCTACAAGCACACCTGCTCCCACCTTTCCGTGCCTACCGCCACTGGCCCAACAAAGAAATATGGACTAGATAAGTAATTTAAAAAAATCCAGACATTACATTATTTGCCTGTAGAAGTCTTTTCCAAAGCTGACGAACTGAGCTTCCTTTGAAAGCTTCTCTCACCTGACAACTATCTCACGTAGGAAGGAGTTAAGTTTTATTTTCTATGGCGCTGAAGACTGCTCTCCTGAACTACTCCTTTTGCAAACTGCATCATGGGCAGCGTTTTGTGAAGTATTTCCCGAGTTGGGTTCTCTGACGAGAACCATGAAGCATGCTGAAAACAGGAATGTTTAAATTTTGCCAGGAAGTTTCTAGCAGAATTGTGCTAGTGACTATTAGCAAACACAGCTGCTTCCTTTCTGTCCCAGTTAATCAGCCCTGCTTAATTACCACAATACAAGGCTGGTAAGCCTAGAAATGTCTACAGAAAACTGCCAGGTTTTAGCATCTGCAGGGTTAAAGTGACTCTCGCCGACTACCATGGCAGATTAAGCTGTTCCTAATAAACACTGCTCTACAGCTTCCAAGTTATATAATTCCAGGGGATGGAAATAGAAACAGACCTCAAGGTTGGCCATGAATGTTCCCACAATATCTACCGTAACAACCCTGTGGCAATGCCCTAAAGTATTATCATAAAAGAGTAACAAATCCATCTCTTAGGATATTATCATTTCTGCTATGGATTACTTGAGAAATATGCCAAAGGAAAAAAAAAGGTAACTGATAATCATATTCCAAACAACAGCAGTCATTGAACTCTTTCGATTTTCACATTACCCAAGTGTTTTTGAGTCAAAACGATGCCATGTAAAATCCCCACAGATACTTACCATCACCTTCTATAACACGGTTACAATGGAAGCAAACATCACCAAATAGCTGAAAGTGAAAAAAAAAAAGTGGTAAAAATTCAAAATGTGTTAGAACTAAGTTTTAGAACACCAAATATTTAATATAATTTCAGTTCTTTCTACCACTAAGACAAATAGCTGGCTACCTAGATCCATAATTTACCATTCATTACTAGAGAAAATCAGTAAAGTTCATGGACTAGTTTTTACTTTTTACAATGAAAATAACTTACTTTTCATCACTATCAGAAACAAAAAAGGCTTTGGAAATGTTCCAGATTTAAGGAAGCTAAAGGAAAAAACCCTAGCTAGGGTCCAGTACTGGAGTGGAAAAAAATGATACAAGGACATTACTGGTACAAGTGACAAAACTCGAATAAATACACTGATTATATCAATATGATTAACTACGACTATGTAAGAGCACTCCATATTATTGGGAAATATAGGTTGAAGTATTTAGGGGTAAAGGACCATGATGAATTAACTTATCATCAAATGCTTCAGAAAAAATAAGTGCCTCTATATGAATACATACATTTGTATATAAAGATACATGCATTTATTAAGTGTATGTTTTCATACAGAGAAACACATGCAAATGATGAAAAGATAGGTAGGTATTCTTCATATTTTTATTTTACAACCTTTGGTGAGTCTGAAATGATTTCCCAAATAAGAAGTTAAAAAGAGATCTCTATAGTCCGATGTACATTTTCCAAGAGATTTCCTTGTAGCTAAAATATTAAGCTCAAATTCATCTAAGTATATATGTAGTATCCAAGGAGTACAATCAATACCTGGTTATAGTGGGTTTCACAATATGCCAGGCCCTTCCTTTCATAATGGCGATGTCCAAGAAATGGCTTTTCACACTTGGCACAAACAAAATGCTGAAAAAAATTGCTAGAGGTCATTTTTGAATTGCCGTATTTTATTTATTTAATGAAGTAAAACTCCAAAGTTAAACTATCCTCAGAGAAGATACATGGAAGTTTGAGGTAGTTATTCCATTTGGCCAGGGCTAACCCTGTGACACTTTCAGTCTTACTTAATTCAGGTGTCTTGAGCTTTTGACAGGTTACTCTAAGACACAGCCTATTTAAACAATGCAGAATGAGAAAAGAGGTCAACATGTTAGTAGCATTGATAAGGGAGGGGGGCTACTGCTGCATATGGACCATGACACTTCCAGCTTCAAGAAGGATTTAAGAACAAAAGAGCATATCCTGTGTCATTACGGAGAGATCACAAAAGCAGTGTATATTCTATATTCGTAATTTTCTACAAAGTCATTTGTCTTGAAAATGTCCACACTTAATCTTTAGAATCCCTTACTCTTGCCAGCACATCTGATTGAAAAGTACTGGTTACCCCTCTACCACCGATGGCTCACCTCCACATGCCACTGTTTGCCCATGGCATTCACCACGCGCCCTTCGATGGGCCGTCGGCAAGCACCGCAGATCGGGACCCCCATCTTATCGTGGCATGGCAGGCAGTACAGCTCTCCTTTCAGCTCCCGGGCGTCAGCCGTCAGCTCCTTCCTGTCCACGAGAGAGATACCCCACTGAATATTACTACTGAGAGAGGAAAAACAGGCAACCAGTGTGGCTAACTGAAGATGTCACTGTAACACTCCCTGTAACCTTCTTTTTTCCCCTCTTAGTGTTGCTTGTGAGTAACCTAAATTAATAGGCTTGAATGGGTTTCCGATTCCTATCAAAACATCAGTATCATACAATAATGATAAAATGTACAAATAAGTCAGATCACACTGATCATATTTATCACTTTTTTTTTTTTAAAGATTTTTATTTATTTATTTGAGAGAAAGAGAGAGACAGCACGAGCAGGGTAAGGGGCAGAGGGAGAAGCAGACTCCCGGCCGAGCAGGAAGCCTGATGCGGGGCCTGATCCCGGGACTCTGGGATCACAACCCAAGCCGAAGGCAGACACCCAACCGACTGAGCCACCCAGGCGCCCCCATATTTATCACTTCTTTGTCTATTATCACATTACAATCCCTTTGTCTTCCTTAAAAAGCTAGAAGAGAATCATCACAATGCCCAGGACGGACTTGGTGATAACATTATCTATATTATCCAAAATAACTGAGGTCTAAAGTTAGAGACTAGTTCCATTTACTAACAATTAAATTGTCACAAGTTATTAAGAGTTATAGGTTAATAGAAAATAAACAAATGAAATGCCCAGAACTTTCCTCCCCCAAATGCTTAAGTTCAGTATTATTTTCAGTCTCCTGCATCAATAAACATTTAGCCAGAGACAGCCCCAATCAGCGAAATGGACTTATTTAACATTTCATCTGTTTTAAGTAATTCTTTAGAAGTGCTAATGACAAATGAACAGAGAAAAATTCCACAGAGTGGAACAGGCAAGAAAATGAGATAAGATACAAACTGATAATCACAAAAAAGATGAGGTGGCTGTACTTATAGCACACAGCTGCTTTCTTGATCTTTAGCTTATCTTATTTCTCTTCACCCCACAATAATTTAGCATGTACGTTCATACTGATTAAAGTAACTTTTTCCATTAAATTTTTATATAGCAAATTTAGAAAACCACAGTCTAATAATTTATCATGAGTTTCTGAAGAAAAAAAATCCCTTTAGAAGTAAATAAAGCAAAATTAAATAATTGTAATTCAAGATATTTTAAGATAACACCCTAATTATTACAACTGTAAAAATTACGTATGAACAAACAGAAGACTTCTTAAAGTTTTTTTTTTTGATCCTGTATTCAAGAAACAGTGATCAAAATCAGTTTTGGGGACAACTGAGGATATCTTACTATCAACTGAATATTTAGAGGTATGTGTGTGTGTACGTGTGTGTGTGTACACACACACACGTACACACATACACGGGGAGAAAGTATGCTGCACACACTCAAAAGTGGCAAAACGTTAAGTGATGAAACTCAACGATGGGTATTCTTTCTATTATTCTCTTGATTTCTTACAGGTTTTAAATTTTCTAGGTTACAAGCTGGAGAAAAGCAATCTGGTGTGCTGGAGTAACAGAAATATAGAAAAATGTGATCTTTTATTTTATTTCCACTATTTGTGCAATCAAAGGGAGGGGATGGCAATACCCGCAGTTGGCACAGTTGAAATGGTCTGGATGGTAAGGGTCATTCTTGAATATCAGCGGCTGCTCATCAATGATGGCATGGCATTTCTGGCAGATGTATTTTCCAAGGCCTCTGGCTTTCTCACGATTATGACAGGGACGACATAGATGTCTAAATAGAGCCAAAACTTTTTTAGAAACTTCAGTTGAAAATCTGAGGTTCTAATAATTAGAAAGAACTATGCTTCTCATATCTTTGAAAAGAAGTTAAAAAAGTCATTTTTTAAAAAAATCACTCCTGGCTTACCAGAGCAGAATCAAGCCACTACTTGAAAATTTATTTATTCCAACCCAGGCAACCCGACTCCAACCTAAGTACCTATCCCCCTTCTGCTGGCCCAGGGACACGTGCAGCAGCAAGGCTGCTACCCAGAAATTCTAACGTCCTCTCCTGACAGACACCAGATGAGCCAATACACTGCAGGCTTGAGTCCCCTGTACCTTCAACTCAGTGCCCTAAAGAACTGCCTCACAGTCCCAGGGGAAAACAGGCATGACCTTGTAGCAGTTACTTCTCCACCCACACCTGACAAGGATGGAAAACTCCTACCTCCCAGCATTCTTGACAAACCCAATATCCGCCAGAACTTCCTGGCAGAGGTCACAGCGGAAGCACTCAGGATGCCAGCTGTTATTCATGGCTTTGATCACCCGGCCAATGATGAATTCACCTGTGGGAAAGTAACACACCCAGGACGTCCAGTGTGCTCCTACTGCTGAAAGTAGTGAGACAAAGGACACGAAGCAAACACTGTTTAAACGGTTCTCCACAACTAGGCACTCTCTATGTATGTGTTGACCACAGTACGCACTGCATTAGGAAGAAACTCTGTCTCATCAGAGTCCTTGGTTTTGATTCTGTAGTCATATTTTCACGTTGTCTTATCACATCTCTGAATGTGGTCTTCCTTTTCCCAATGATATACTGGGCTCTCTTGAATGCCTTTTGTTTATTTCTGGTCATCGCTGACACAGAAAACTGAAATCCACAGCACATTTTTTTGAAACCTATACATAATTTCTTCTTTCACTAAACTTTAGAACATTCTACTCATTTTTTCCAATCTCTGGAGACCTTCTCGAAGAAGTGTTAGCAACCAGTGAGGTGGTTAAAATGCAAGCAAGTTAAACACTTGTGTAACACACAGCAATCCCGAAGCAACTGAAGCACCCCTCCAATGTCTTCCCTGTCTCTCTCCTGGCAACCCCCAAAGTGAGTGTAAAGACTGAATTAACAGGGGGCAAGAACATTCCAAAAGATCATCTGATAAAAGTCTTAATCAGTCCCCAATTTTACAGTAGATGTCCTTAAAAATCATTTCTCTCTGGGTTTTGATACTCTTCCAGCTTGTCATATATTAACGATAAGGAAAAGGACCAATAAGATGCTATTTATAATGAGCACCAAACACCATTTTCACCACTGACATAATTTTGAGACTCACTTTTTACTTTGCCATTCAGCAGTAAAACTTACCACACTGATGACAGCAAGGAGCAAAGAGCATCTGAAAGTCATGTTCACAGTACTTCCTTCCTTCAAACTGAAACAGAAAATACCATCAACTTGTATAGATGAAACAATCACAGGATGAATATAATTATTCTGTGGAGACATGTAGGAAAGATGTTTCTGGATGAAGAGCTCTGCCCTAAGAATTTATAATTCTACTGAGATTTTTAAAAGCAGATGTACTTTTGTACCTTCCCTAAAAACACACCAAACAACTGAGGCGAGACCTGGTACTAACGGCTCCAGAGTACAGTGACCTCCCTCCAGCAATGCTAACTCTTCTCCGGCTTGCAGACTCACCTTGAAGAGTCTAATGAATGCGCAGACCCCTCTCTCCAGAAAATAGGCATATACACACAAACCCCGTCCCACTTTTTTTTAAGGTTGATATCTGAGATGTTGTACCATAAGCTTAAATATTTCCAAAGAATAGACATTCCAGTATATTTTAGATTTACACATTTCAAACTGGGGCCAAAACCCATTAAAAAAAAAAAACACATTCTACTTTAACAGTTGGAAAAATTTATACCTTCCACTTTTCTCCTTGAACTATTTCCATTTCATTTCCCCCAGAGTTTTACCCTGGTGTGATATTTTTTTCTGAAACTCTATATTAAAGTCTTTAACAGATCACCCTACCATACTTCTCAGCAATTAAAATGTATATAATGAAACTTTAAAATCTGTTTTACTTTCTGAACCCATAAGCCTCTAAAACATTCTTTTTCTTCTGGATTAAGTTATCATTACAATGATTATTAATACACAAATGGTCAAAACATGAATACGTCAAAATGTCAAATTTTACTTTCCACTACTTGTTTACTTGAAAAGCCTATCTTAATGAGATGAGCAGGGCTCCTCTTCCTCTCACAGTTATTCCATGTAGCCACGGATAAATATGACTTATCATTGGAAGAGTCAGGGTTCAACATTAATTTCTATTTTGGGGGCTGCTTTTACCCTCTTCACATAAGTCATGAGAATTATATCATGTCTCCCTTTGAATCTTTGAGCTCCTTGCAAATTATATGTCACATATATCACATAACTGTTTGACTATCAAAATCCATTTTTATTTATTCATTTTTAAAGACTTTATTTGTCAGAGAGAGAGAGAGAGAGAGAGACAGCACAAACGGGGCAGGCAGAGGGAGAAGCAGGCTCCCCACTAAGCAAGGAGCCTGACTCGGGACTGATCCAGGGATCCCAGGATCATGACCTGAGACGAAGGCAGATGCTTAAACGACTGAACCACCCAGGCGTCCCTCAGAACCCATTTTTAATGATATATCAGTAGTCAACTCAATTTGCTCAATTTATTGAACATTATCGACTACACCTTAATTGGCAGACCAGCCAAAGCAGATTTATCTTATGCCGGAAAAGGCTTACTTCATTTTGAAATTCAAATGAATAAGTTCTAATACATTTAATGGATCTGTTTTTAAAAAGCTACAGATACATTGATATGCTACATTAACCCAGCCCTATCATAGTGCACTGTGTGTAGCCCCAAGCAGAAGTTATTTATGAAGTAGGTATGTTCCCTTATTGGATGTATATTACGTATATATATAGAAATCTGATGTTTAGCTTTTAGCAATAATTAAAAAAAATTAAATATAAAGACTCAGAACCAGCTCCATTGATTTAGTTGGAAATGATAAATTGTTTACCATCCACCCCAGTCTTAATCGGTGGTGAGAGACCAGGCTCAGAACTGTGTGTGTCAACTGGTCACTTACATTCAAGAGTAAAAGATTGATTAATGATAACAATGCATCACTAATGAATCATTGAATACTACATCAAAAACTAATGATGTGGGGCGCCTGGGTGGCTCAGTCATTAAGCGTCTGCCTTCAGCTCAGGTCATGATCCCAGGGTCCTGGGATCAAGCCCCACATCGGGCTCCCTGCTCGGCGGAAAGCCTGCTTCTCCCTCTCCCACTCCCCCTGCTTGTGTTCCCTCTCTTGCTCTGTCTCTCTCTCTCTCTGTCAAATAACTAAATAAAATCTTTAAAAAAAACCCCAAAACTAATGATGTACTATATGCTGGCTAACTGAACATAATAATAATAAAAAAAATGCATCACATCTTCAGAAGGAAAGGAGAATGTTTTGTGCACTATTTGTGTGTGTGTGTATGCATGCACGCATGCATGACGGTTTTATTATAGTCTTTAAAATCAGTACTTTTTAATGGAAACAACTTGACCAAAAAATCTGTCACAGAATTTGGAGACCCATTAAAACAAAGTTTAATTAAAAAAAGAAAAGAAACACTCAACTTTTAGTTTGTATTTAATGAAAGAGAAAGACGTATATTGTTTAAAACAAAAACAAAATGAGTCCAGCAGTTGGCATATATACTGTATCTGCTAGTGGAAGGTAGAAAAAATTAGGATTGGTTGTAATTTGAGTAAGTTTTTTTTTTTTTTTTTAAGATTTATTTATTTAGAAAGAGAGAGCGTGTGCAGGGGAGGGGCGGGGCGGGGGGAGGAAGAGAATCCCAAGGAGACACTCTGCTGAGCGTGAAGCCCAAAATGAAATGGGGCTCAAACCCACAACCCTGAGATCATGACCTGAGCCGAAACGAAGAGTCACATGCTTAACCAACCAAGCCACCCAGGCGCCCCTCGAATAAATTTTTTAAGATATAATTCAAATAGGTATCATAGCGTAGCAGTTAAGAACACTGACTGTGTGGGGCGCCTGGGTGGCTCAGTTGGTTAAGCAACTGCCTTCGGCTCAGGTCATGGTCTCAGGGTCCTGGGATCGAGCCCCGCATCGGGCTCCCTGCTTGGCGGGAGGCCTGCTTCTCCCTTTCCCACTCCCACTGCTTGTGTTCCCTCTCTCACTGTCTCTCTGTCAGATAAATAAATAAAATCTTAAAAAAAAAAAAAAAAAAAAGAACACTGACTGTGGATCCAAAAGGCCTGAAGTCTAAATTCTGGCTGAACCGCTGACTGGCTGTGTGACTTTGGTCACGTTGTTTAACCTCTTGATGTCTCGTGAGAGTCACAAGCCTCTTCTGTTTTGGCTGTTTCTTCTGGCTCTTAACACATACTCATCATGTTCACCATTTCTTACCACTGCTCTCTTTGTTTTGCTCTCACCAGGACTCTCCCTTTAAAAGGATCAGTTCTGTGGTATAAATATACAGTGGAATACCATTCAGCTATAAAAAACAAAATCCTGCTATTTGCAACAACGTGGACAGACCTGCAGGGCATTACGCTAAAAGAAATAAGTCAGGCAGAGAAAGACAGATACTGTGTGATCTCATTTATGTGTGGAATCTAAAAATGCCAAACTCACAGAAACAGAGAGTAGACTGGTAGTTACTGGGGCCTGGAGGGATGGGGGAAATGGGGAGATGTAGGTCTAGGGGTACAAACTTCCAGTTATGAAATGAGTAAGTTCTTGGGATCTGATGTATAGTTATAGTCAACAATACTGTATGGGAGACTTGAAGTCCGCTAAGAGAGCAGGTCTAAATGTCCTCACCACACACACACACACACAATTACATGAGGTGATGGATGTGTTGACTAACCTTACTGTGGTTATCATTTCACAATAGACATACCAAATCATCACGTTGTACACCTTAAACTTACACAATGTTGTCTGTAGATCATATTTCAACAAAACTGAAGAACAAGGATGAGTCCTTTTGAAATTAGGGATGAAAAAGGCAAAGTCTTAAAAGAAAGTTGTCATGATTACTCCCATTTCCAAATCTGCCACAAATCTGAATATAGAACATCCAACACAGTTCCTAAAGCCAAGCTTCATTCTTTTTCTTCTTTAAATTTTTTGTTATGTTAACCACCATACATTACATCATTAGTTTTTGATGTGGTGTTCCATGATTCATTGTTTGTGCATAACACCCAGTGCTCCATGCAGAACGTGCCCTCTTTAATACCCATCACCAGGCTAACCCATCCCCCCACCCCCCTCCCCTCTAGAACCCTCAGTTTGTTTTTCAGAGTCCATCGTCTCTCATGGTTCGTCTCCCCCTCCGATTTACTCCCCTTCATTCTTCCCCTCCTGCTATCTTCTTCTTTTTTTTTCTTTTTTTTTTTTAAAGATTTATTTATTTGAGAGAGCGAGAATGAGAGAGAGAGAGTACATGAGAGGGGAAAGGGTCAGAGGGAGAAGCAGGCTCCTCGCCGAGCAGGGAGCCCGATGCGGAACTCGATCCCGGGACTCCAGGATCATGACCTGAGCCAAACGCAGTCGCTTAACCAACTGAGCCACCCAGGCGCCCTCTTCTTTTTTTTTCTTAACATATATTAAGCCAAGCTTCATTATTAACAAGAAAATGCCTTATGGGTTTGAGGACCTCTGGCTAATGTCTTTTGACTGGTGTCCTGGAGCAATTAATCATAGAAAGATTTGAGATTCCTTTCTCTTGTGAAGTGGGAGAAGTGCTACTGTGAATACAAATATATTATCAGACAAATCAACTTTTGGAAGAGGAATTCAGAAATTTAGTTCCCTGAAACCAAAATACAAGGATCCAGAAATGGATTCCCTTGAAATCGTTCATACTGCAAACCCCTTGCATACTCTGGGTGTGCTTACTCCATATAAGGACTAATGCAAGAGATAATTTCTTTTGCTAGAACGAGCTGCCTCTTTTTCACAGTGTGTAGAAATGCTCAAACACAGTTATGGCTTGATTTCCAAGGCTAGGAGAAAGGCCAGAAATTGATCCAAAGTGAAACTCTGGGATGAAAATGAAGAAAAATCAGAAATCATAAATTTGAAAAGTCAAACTTTCAGAAATACTGCCTTTCTAGGTAACTGCATGTTATAACCCAAAACTGGTTTAAAATACCATCAGCCTATAAGAAATATTAATGCTCCAGACAGTGTTAAAACAGAATGTCCAAGAACCCTGGTTGTTGCCACCTGCAAGGAACAGGGATTGTTCAGTATAGGGGAGGATGAACTCCAACCAAAAATAGCTCTGCTTTGAACTGTTTTAAGTTTTGAGTTCTGTGAAGATTCT